CCGTGAGGATTCTCCTCGACGTCTTCCTCCTCGAAGCAGGCAATCTTTCGTTGCATGCTTCACCCTATCCCGACCAAATCCCGACCTCCCATCCTTCACCTTGCGTGCTTCACCCTATCCTATCCCGACCAAATCCTGACCCTCTCCCATCCCTCTGCTTCCTCTTTCGCCGCATTTCCATCCTGACCGACCAAATCCCGACCCCCTCGTCCTCCTGATCCGGCATCCTGCCCCCCCCCCCTCTTCGTCCTTCTCCTGCTACTCCCATTTCGCCCCTCAAGGGGTTTCGATTGCGACCCCCTCCTCCTCTCCCTGTCCCGCCACTTCTGGGGCAGTTCCTCACCTTCTCCTCCCTGCCTTACCAGGGACCTCACCTCCCCCCACCCGAGAAAGTGAGAGATGGGGGGGTGGAGAGAGAGAGAGAGAGAGAGAGAGAGAGAGAGAGAGAGAGAGAGAGAGAGAGAGTCCGAACTTACCTATCTCGTTTCTAAGCCGAGTCTGAACGGACTTTCCAAGCTGCGTGCCCACCTGATATGGCGCGCACAATGCGTGAGCCTTCCGCACGGCTTCGGAAGGCTCCACTAATTGTAGGCATACGGGTAAGGGGAACCCTGTAGCAGCCAGAACCGTGTTCACGAGAGAACATGCGGGGCTGCTCCCGAGCTGCAGGTGGGCGATACCCGGTACGGGACAGCCGGTAGCAAATTAGAAGTGGTAGATAGGTAGTGTGAGGTGAAAGCGAGAGAAGAATATAGCTTTAATAAATATTTACATATTTAAACAAAAAGGCTCCACTGCGCGCCGCAAATTTGGGCAAAAGCAGCCAACTCTATCGTAGGACTCTTTTACGGCGGAATTGGGGTGAGACACTACCTGTAGTGTGCGTATGCTGTCAGTTGGTACACGGTATGAACTGTTGACATACACAGCAATAAGTTCAACTCTAGAGGCAATAAAAAAGGAGGGCAAATTATTCAAATGAAATACCCCCAGAAGTTTGGGTATTTCGTTAGATACCCCTAAAACACAGGCGTACTCTGAGATGCCCCAAACTTCCGCATCAACTTTGCCATTTGAGTTTCCTCAACGCCTGAATCTGGAAGTGTTTGTGGAGATGTGCAGAAATCGCATTGAGTTTTCTCAACCGCACTGTTCCACAAACATGTCCAGATTTCGACATTGAGAAAAGGATGAGGAGAGAGCCACCCTGCTGGGGGCGCAGCGCGATAGGGAGCGCTGCGCCCCCACTGGAGCACCGTCGAAGCGGACGCGGCGCGACGCAGGAACTAACGGAGAGTCTGGCGACACAATGGGCGGCTGGAGGCTGTGGGCGCGAGACGTGACAGCGGGAGGGTAGAGATGATGTGGCGCGACTTGGTGTGGCCTGCCTTTTGAAAGCACAGGTGGTGCCATCTCCGGCTTCACGTTTCATCTAGTGATTCCCCAGGCGAGAGCGCTGGATGAAGGGAAGTTTGCCTTTGAAAGGGGGCGGGTCTTCATGAGATTCTCGGCATATTGGTTGCCTTCGCTTCGCTGCCTGCATAGTTTTATGGAGGATGGTCGGCTGATGCAGGCTGAAAGGGAGGAGCGCGTCCTCACGTGGAGTGGGAGGAGGATTGGAGGCGACATCGAGTCTGCGGTTTTTAAAGAAGGGCCAAGCGGTATCGGCGGCAGCTGCGTTTTTTCGTCATGAGGGCATCTGGAGTGCGAGGGCGTTGTGGTCGAGTTTTTTTCGCTTTGTTGATTGCATCTTGGGGATGAGCTTGGCTTTTCTTTGGATAGTCCCTCTCGCTGATCATATGTGTATTCATCAATCTGGATTACTTTGATTTTGGTTTGCGTAGCTGATGTTTACCAATGATGATGATCTAATTAGGTTTTTTGAATTCGGTCTTCTCTATTTTGAATTCACTCATTTGTTTTTCCAGGTTGCAATTCTGGATATTCTTTCTAAATGATGATGATCTGATTTAGTTTTCTCTTGGTGGTTCCTTCTGATAATATGGTTTCTTGAAAATATTTTCTTAAACTTTTTTCGTGCCATACATCTTTGCCAAATGTTTCTCAAACTGTGGTTTGGGAATCTGATTCGAAAATCTTTTATGGAAATCTAAACCTAAATTTCGTATAATTTCTCGTAACTTTTGTCACTCAGTAGTTTTTCTTATCATTGATCATATGCTCTTGATTTTTTTTCTCTTGGTTTCTGATATAAACTCATTCTGATTTTCGATGCCTAAAAGTAGGTTATTGTAGTATTTTTTCGAAACTCTATGGTTGCTAATCATAACACCGTGTGGTAAATTTTGATTCGGATAGTCTTGAGGGTTGTAATTGTGGCTTGCTGTGTATATCCGTGGGGTCTTCCTTGAGGGTTGGAGCCTCCCCCCGTGAGGGTTTCACAAGGTGGGAGGTGTTATTCTTGGAGGGGGGAGGCGGTATTGGGGGATTGTTGTCTCTTAGCCGGACTGATTTAGGGTCGGATCAGTACTGGCGGGTGGGGAGAGAAGGCACGGGGGTGGCTGCTTATAGCAGTGTGTTATGATTTTTTTATGGGAAGGAGTGTCTTCGATGGCTACACAGTGAGCCGAAGGGAGGGGAAGCTAGATTTGAAGAAATGAAGGTAGCAACTTGAAGGGGATTCTCAACAGAAAGGGTTATTTGTTAAGGTAAGTAGGTTAGAAGGACGATGCTGGGACGACACAGACCGGTGTTGGAGTCTTTGTTGTATAACCCAGGAGGAGCTTGAGGCCTGGGAAGTTATGCCGAGGGTGGAAGGCATAACGAGATCGTCCGACATAGTTAGCGTCAGGGTTTTGACCCTGTAACCTGATTAGGGGCTCGCCACTAAGAGAATTGTCAAGGGAGGAAGGCACTTCCTGTCCGTCAGAGCTAGGTTGATCGGTACTAGGGAGGGTTGTGGTGCCCTGTCACCCTAGCAGAAGGAGGTATGAGATCAGATGAGTTCTGGTACGAGGACTGAAGGCCTGGACTGGCGCCCCATCTGTTGGAAAGGGGAATCTAGGATAGTAGGCAGTTTTAGTCTTGCCCCCCCCGCCCTTATATTTTTCTAAAGTTTTTCGAATGTCCCAAAAAGAGTTGGGTGCTTAGTGGTTCTAGGAATGTTTTTTGGGACTTTGGGATCCCTACTAACTCATCTTAGGTGGCTTCAAAGTTGTTTTACTCAGTGATCTGCGGTTGTTTGATGCCAGAACGACGCTACCGGTGCTGGGGTGTTGCCCTGTAACCTGCAATGCAGGAGTTTAAGGTCTGGTAGAGAGATCTGGGGATGTCTTGGGGTGGGTTTCCCACGGGACAACCAAGGGTTGCTGCCAGGACGACACTGGTCGGAGCTGGGGTGAGTCACGCTGCCCTGTGACCCAGCAGAAAGTGGGGGTGTGAGACCTTATAAGAGATCGGCAGGGAGTACAACAGTTTTGGAGAACGTTGGAAGAGTTTGTGTGGGATTTCGAGGTTTTTGGAATAATCGTAAGACCTCTGTGGCCTATTCTCATGCTTTTGGAACGACGGCAAGAGTTCTTACGTAATTCAAAAAGAAAAAAAGGTAAGTGGGAGAGGATGGTTGGTTACCACGCGTTCTACCAGTGAGGGGGCTAGCTGGTAGGATGGGAGCATGGCATAGCAGCAGCAGAGATGGTGGATCTGCTACAGTCAGTCTTGCCGGAGTGCGGTATAGTGGATTGATGAGGGTTTTTCTGAGTCGTTTCTGAATTTCGCTTAATCATGAAGATTGTCCTAGACATGTCTGAAGTAGCTTCAATTTTTCGAGCCAAAGTCGGGTAATGGCCCCGGTATCTCAATTTCCAAAATTTCATCCTTAGGCCAATTAGATTCTTCGTCTCATTTTCATGAATTTTCTGTTAAAGTTTTTTGAGCATACTCGTTATGGGACGTTGGGCCCAGTTCCCAGTTTGTGTCAATTTGTGAGGATATGGTTGTATCTATGGGACGCTGAACCCGGTTTCCAGCAGGTGTTGCTCCCCACCAATAGATGAAGCTTTTTTTTTTTTTTTTAAAAAAAAAAAAAAAAAAAAAGGATGTTGCTAATGGCATGAGGCCCCTGGATGGTCGACCGAGAGAGTAGGTCCTACTCCTACCTTTTGAGGTTGACCCATCCCGTGAGCAAAGGAGGCACTGTGATAGGATGTAGTTCTAGAAAAACGGACGTCTACTTTATCTTCGGGGGCGTCTTCCTGATCCGGTAACAAAAAGTTAGGAGTCCCGAAAATTGTTGTGGTGTTGGGATTCGTTTTCACTTCTCAGTCCTCATGGACATTTGCCAGGCACGTTGTAGTGTGGTTGAGGCGTACTAAGCGGCTTACTCGATGAGAACTTTGGGGCAACTTACTCTATGGGAACTTGAGGCTGATCCGAGTACGTTCTAACGAAAAATATGGGGCCACTACAGGTGAAACAAAAAAGAAAAATTGAATCTCACACACCCATGCAAATAGGAACTTTTATTGATGCACTGTTTGACAACTCCAGCATGATAGTCAACCACCTTGACAACAACGAGAAAAAGAAAGAAAAAAAAAATGCCACGACCACAAACGTTTCCACAATCCTTCATAAAAAACAACGCGCCCTGATCATCGCATCCGGTGAGAGACTATATACTTGTATTTGAACATGTGCGTTGATGTTCGATAATTCTTCGCGTGAATAAACAATGTAGTTTTTATGGTGTAACATTTACACTATCAGTTATTCGATAATTCTTCGCGTGAATAAACAATATAGTTTTTATGGTATAACATTTAAACCTACGTTGCGATTCGTACTCACCCCCATACGAGTACAAGTTGTACTCATTTCTTGTACGCCACTCGTACTCAAGGCCCGTAATTTTTTTTTTTAATTTTTTTTTACTGTTTTTTTTTCCTCCAATTTTAATAAGAATCTGCAGATGGTGCTCGGACAAATGTTGCTTGTATTGGGATTTTACATCACATATATATTTTTCGGATTTTTTGGATTTTTTTTTTTTTTTTTTTTTTTTTTTTTCCCGTACGGAGCGTACGGGGGCGTACAGATTCCCATACAGATATTATCTGTACGTTTCATACGGAAAGGCCCCGTACGTGTACGTTCGGTAACGTAGATTTAAACTATCATTTATTATAAATGACCACCTTAAACTTGTTGTAGGATTGGTTTGTAGGATAAGGATTCAAGTTGGTTTTGCATTGACTTATAATTGTTTTAGCATTTTTTTTCAGTATGTTGTTGCTCGGCTTAGGAACTCGAGTGTCTGGTAGTTTCGGTTTCACATTAAGGTCTTTTGGTACCTGTCGGACCTATCATTGTTATTATAGTCTTAAGACATAAACTACTTTGTCATAGAACATTGTAGCGACACCATTAAACCACTGAAGACTGTTGATTGTAGCGGTTGGTCGAAACTAGTCGGGTCACTCATCGCACAACTGCTTTTATATTTTCCTGCCATGTTATTCACATTACATTTTACAACTCGTCTCTTTTGAGGTTTGAACATTATATTATATGTTACTCTCTCTCTCTCTCTCTCT